CCCGGCGTCGGGGATCGCGGGACGATCTCCGACCCGCGCTTACGGGCCTGCGAGCATGGGTGGCTCCCCGTCCGACCAGAAACAGACCCGAGCGTACGGCGCGTCGCGTTCCGCGCGCGCCTCAAAGAGCCATCAGACCACCACAGATGGGGCCCAATAGGGCCGATGCCGATTCGGAGTCGCGGAGAACCTAACGGGTAACCGGGGCTCCGGCTCGACGTGCAGGAGAAGGAACGGGGTGGTTTTTAGTCAGTAAGAGTCTGACACTCCCTCCCGCCTCACCCAGGCGGGGGCAGTCATTCGATGATTTTCCCCCCTTAAAAAAAAAAAAAAATCTAAGTAATCGAAACGAAACCTCGTTCGGCGCTCTGATTGGTTAGTCCACTGGAGCCGCCCAATCAGAGTGCCGAACGCGTACTCTTTTCGAATACTTTTTAACACATTGGCTGCCGTGTCGGACAATGTTGTCCGACGTTAGCGGAGGATTAGCCTTTACCAGTTTTTGTCGTCAGTTAAAGGCTTAAACGTAAAACAAACGTGTACTAAGGCCTCTGATGGCTCCTTGAGGCGCACGCGGAACGCGACACGCCGTACGCTCGGGTCATTCCGACCCCTACAGCCGTTTTGACGTGATTGAGTAACAACTAAGTGTGAGACCCATGCTTCGGCACGAATGGGCCGGCTCGACCGGAGTGATACCACGGCCGAGCAGAAAACCGACGTGAAGCAACGCTTGCGTTGTGTTTCGTCGTGTGAGTGAGGTTACCGGAGGCCCAATTACCCTCCCCTTCCCCAATCTCCACAATTCCTGAATCTCCAACGATCCTCAAACTCCTAATACCCAAAAGGCCGGTAACGCGCTTGTAACGCCTCCGGTGTTCCAGGTGTCAATGGCCGACGCCGATTGCTTACCATCAGGTGATCCGTCTGCTCGTTTACCGGCTTATGCTATAAAAAGCCTTTCTCGAGTTTTAACTGTTATAGTGTTGGGGTATTTCGGAATAAAAAGGTCCAACTTGCAGATAATTCAGTTTAATAAAAAATGGTTTAAACTCAATAATTAATGTTTTTAACTGGTTACATAAAACGTCACTGACAATGTCACTGGATGCGAGAGTCACTGGATGAGGAAACGACTGGTTAGATCGGATTATAAATTAGTAGTTTGTCTGACGGGATGCCAGGCAATGCCCTGGGTGGCCATGCACACATGCTTAAAGTGCATACAATGTATAACATAACGAATGGAAATGCATTTTTAATCACTCGAATCAGTCAGCCTCACCTGTTAATTGAGCTGACTGTAAACCGACACATGCGTACTGCCTTCAGAACGGGTCCGCTCAAACTGTTGTGGTTCTTTCCTTAAAAGGCCACTACAGAAAGAACTTGCACGGTTCTCACACATAATCTGTTATACATATTGTCTGGACTTTAAAAGAGACAGACCTCTGAGTTTGTTTTGGCATTTCTTCTCAGAGTAGTCAGTTAGGAAATGTCGATCTCATCGTTAGCTTGAAAAAATTGACGTGTAAAAGTGCTGCCTTGTAGCCTATTTGCAGAAATAAATTCACTTGTTTCACTATATATAGATAGTAAGATTGATATGTGTTTCAAAAACTACAAAGCTATTCCTATTGGTAACCTAATATCGGCCACGTGTGGCTTCTCGATAGCCTAGATATACCTAGGTCTTACGTAACAAGCTCTAGGTATATCTGTGACACTAGATAATCTGTCTTCAGACAGTTATGTCACTGGTTTCTACAATAAACTAAGTTTCGTACGCAATTTCGAGTATTGAAAAATTAAAACAGAAGAATTAGAAGCGAGACGCTGACATCATGCATATGCTAAAAGGGTCACCCACTCAGTATAAGCCCAGCATACAAGTCACCCAGCACTGGTTTTCAGTTGGCACCCTTGCTTGATATATCTTGATGGCCTTAACGAAAACGAAATAGATTTCACTGTATATATTTTTTTTTATGGCAATAAGCCGGTAAACGAGCAGACTGATCACCTGATGGTAAGCAATCGGCGTCGTTCATGGACACCTGGAACATTAAAGGCGTTACAAGTGCGTTACCGGCCTTTTGGGGATTAGGAGTTTGAGGATCGTCGGAATTCAGGAATTGGGGACATTGGGGAAAGGGAGGGTAATTGGGAATACGGTAACCTCACTCACACGACGGAAGCGTTGCTTCACGTAGGTTTTCTGCTCGGCCGTGGTATCACTCCGGTCGAGCCGGCCCAGCAGTGCCGAAGCATGGCTCTCACACGCTTCACGCATAATAAAATGTAAAATGGTTGTATCCAATTAAACTGTCAAATACCGCAAGGACACCGGTGACCGCAACTATTGTTCTTTAACTCGTCGAGTACCGGTTTTGCAGACACAATTATAGAACAATAGGTTGCGGTCACCGGTGACCGCTTGGTATTTGACAGTTTAATTGTGTCCATAATGACGGTACTCAACGAGTTAAAATAAAATGAAAATTTTACTATTTTTGTCTAAGGGGGATAATTATCTAACAACACCTTTTTTTGTAACTTGATAGAAGCAATCCAATATATAAAATTCTCGTGTCACAGTTTTCGTTGCCATACTCCTCCGAAACGGCTTGACCGATTTTGATGAAATTTTTTGTGCTTATCCAGTATCTATGAGAATCGGCCTACATCTATTTTTCAGCTCCCGAAATGTTAGGGGTAGTCCACCCCTAATTTTTTACAAAATATACATACAATCCTCAATTTTCACCCTTCTACGATCAACCCTTGTTTTTTAATAGCCATTTTGGCAGTTATTTATATGGCAAAACAACGTTTACCGGGTCAGCTAGTAGTCTTACATAAATAAATACAGTTATAAAACGAATGTTTGTTTGTTTATCTTTAGAGATACCGTTTTTTTCTTTTATCAATTTATGTTAATTTTATGTTAATTTAACAATATTTGAATATTTTAGTCTGAGGAAAATATATTATAATATTTATAACTCTTGGAAAAGGCCAGGTGCTTGTGTGATCAGATGTATGAATGTGATGGAAGCTAAAGAAGTATGTAAGGAGCGTAGTAGGTGGCGCTCTGTAGTTTCTGTATACCATCAGATGTATGAATGTAGTACAAGCTAAAGAAGTATATGATAATCTGACAAACAATCAGCAATTTGAACTGTATATTTCCAAAATAACATTTAATATACTCGTTTCTTATCGCCAACTTAGTTTTTTTTTACAATCAGATTAAGTATCTAGTAGTCTAGTGGAACTATAAAAGTCGAACTGGTTTCTATACATGGTCCGATCCGGTAGTGAATCCTGATACCCCACGCTTGCTTGACTGCTGTATTTGGTGACAAAACGACAGATAAACTTCTCTTTATATATATATATATATATATATTACATAGTAACTATTGTATGGGGTATCGGGTTCGATTACCAAGACGGGCAAAGTATTACAGGGTTTTAAAAAAAAATGTCAGTCTTAGCACGGAGTTTGGAATTGTGCCCGATATATGGCAATGGGCTCATCTCTTATTACATGGGACTCGTAACATAAATAGTGAAAAGTGGGTGTTACATTATACAGTGGCATTAAGTGCCGTAATGTGCACCTCTGCCTACCCCTTCGGGGATAAAAGGCGTGATTATGTTTCGTTATGTAATAGACTTTAGCACTAGATAAGGACGAAAACTTAATCGTTCCAGTAGGGATATCAGGAAACGGTGGCTCTGTTCTCCCCTACACGTCTCAGGGAACTTAGTTTTTAATTCATTTTTTTCATTAGCACTTACTGTCATTTTTACATTAGGCAGGTACCAATAAAATCTCAATTAAAAACAACGTTACCCAAATAATCCATTTAACAACAAATATGTGACAATAAGTGATAAAAGAACAACAAAATCTAAGACACAATCGCATAAAACCGCCATGTTGGCTCGTTTCCGCCGCGTCGCCCGCCAGGCTGCGCGCGCACAACGTGAACTGGAGGAAACGGATGCAGACACTGCGTATGACGTGTCACACTACTTCAGCGATGATGTAGCTGATCCATGGAGACAGCATGGTGAGTTTACAGCCTGAAAAACTAGATTAAATGACAGTATTTTTTTTAAGGGGGGAAAATCATCGAATGACTGCTCCCGCCTGGGTGAGGCGGGAGGGAGTGTCAGACTCTTACTGACTAAAAATCACCCCGTTCCTTCTCCTGCACGTCCAGCCTGAGCCCCGGTTACCCGTTAGGTTCTCCGCGACTCCGAATCGGCATCGGCCCTGTTGGGCTCCATCTGTGATGGTCTGATGGCTCTTTAAGGCGCGCGCGGAACGCGACGCGCCGTACGCTCGGATAAATGACAGTATATCTTGCCTAAAATACGATAAAGAAAAATATTGTAAGAAAACCTGCAGCTATGCATGCTAGCTAATGCCTGCGGCATTAAGTCCACCTTTTTGTACATTTTGTGCATGAAGCATTTTAAATAAATAAATAAATAAAAATATAGCCAAATGCCATTTAGCGCTTGTCTACTTGTAGAATTGAAAACCAAATTATATGGATTTGACGTAAATTTTGACAGTTGTCAGTGTTATCCCCATACATTTCGTTTTTCATTCCCTCGGTAGACAAGCGCTAAAGTTGCATTTGGCTAAAGGCACTGGGCTGATTCGAAACCTACCAACGGCTAGTACCAATGTCACTTCTTTCGAATTATATGTACTTTCTAAGATTATTTAGACACCACTGACAAACGGTGAAGGAAAAAATCATGACCTGGGCTTATAATTTCTAATTATAAGTTTGTAATCGCTAACCCACATTGAGCAAGCGTGGTGATTAATGCTCAAACCTTCTCAGTGTGAGAAGAGGCTTTTGGTCAGCAGTGGGCACTTATAGGCTGTTGATGATATGAGGTGCTTGCCTAGGGCGCACTCTAGGTTTAATCCTCCTCTGCCTTATTTTGATTTATCTTTTCTTCTATTACAGATGCGTTAGAAAGAGAGCGTCTGTCACAGCATGCAGCGCTTCGTGAGCTGGTGTCTCGCGGCGACTGCGTCCAGCTAAAGGCTCGGTTGAGTGCGCTCGGCAACAGCGCTGGACTGATCGCGAACTTAACGCCTGGTGGAGCTAACACTTTGTTATATGTGTAAGTTAAGTTGTTTAAGTTAAGGTTTGGACATGGATGGGTGGGTGGGATCAGCCTTATAGAAATTAAGATTTAGTTTAATGTGCTTTTTATGCCAGGTTAAGTTTCAACGTAACATAACATCACGCCTTTTTATTCCCGAATGGATAGCCAGAGGTGCACTTAACGCCACTGTACAATGTAACACCCACTTTTCACTATTTATGTTATGAGTCCCATGTAATAGGGGGTGAGTCTATTGCCATATACCGGGCACGATTCTAGACTCCGTCCTACAACTGAGATTTTTTTAAACCCAGTAATACTTTGCCCAACCCGGGAATCGAACCCAAGACCCATGCCGGCAGTCGCAGTTGCGAGTACTCGGTTAACGAGGCAGTCAGTTAAGTTTTAGTAGGTTTGAAATCGCCAAACTTTGATCAAGCATGGTGATTGAAGCTCATTCTCTCTTTTTATATCTTCTCCATATGAGAAGAGGCCTATCAGTTGGACAGTTAAGGCTGACATAGATCGATATTCTTAAGCGTCAGTGCGTTTTAAGTTAATCATCTTTTCCCTACTGATCGATATTAATAATTGTTTAAATATTGTCAAGTTCAACTCCCAAGTCGCAAGAAAAGAGTCGCGGAGAACGGTAATACGGTGCGTCTTCCATGGACATTGTTAATATTATTACAATTGAATGTTATTAAATAATAAGTAAAATATATAATCTGTATAATAATAATTAAATCATCTTTAGTAAATATTAATTGAATATGAACAAATTAATTAATAATGTATAATGATACTGCAGATATTTAATGTAGGTATGAGTGTAAATTTTAAAATTAATGTAATAATTCACAGTCATCAAAAATTTTTTTTTTTATATAATAGATATTTGCACGCCATGATAAATGGCAGACATGTCGTAAGCCACTTTTGTCTAAGATCTTGCATGCTGTATTATTTTAATTCTGTATGCACACACATGTTTGAGCAAATAAAATTCTTATTCTTATTCTTATTCTTATGGATCCGGATCGGGCATCTGTCCTACTGGGCTTTATTTATGGAGGTCTGGTGGCTGTTATAAAAAAAGATATTAGGCTTAAATACCCTTCCCCAATCTTCCCAATTCCTGAATCCCCAACGATCCTCAAACTCCTAATCCCCAAAACGTAATCCTCCCGTAATCGTAAATGTCAAATCCCCGTAACGCACTTGTAACCAAGTGCGTTACGGGGATTGACACCTAAAACACCAGAGGCGTTAGCCTTTGGGCGACGCCGATTGCTTACCATCAGATGATCCGGTGCTCGTTTACCGGCTTATGCTATAAAAAAAAACTAATTTCTTACAAAATAAGCTCTGAGTTCCCTAGCCCAAACGTGGCTAGTTTCTGAGATAGGTATTCAACATTTTCGGTTATGGTAAAAAATCCCGATCTAACTACAAAAATATCAATAATAGCTTTTACCCGCGGCTTTGCTCGCGTCACAAAAACATAAAACCAGGACATATACCAATACACACAGCGCCATCTATACCAATTCTTTTGTTTTCCCTCGGGAACATCAAATTTTTCCGGGATAAAAAGTACCTTATTATTTAATATGGAGTTCTAACTTTACATCTACAAAAATTCAAAGCAGTAGTTACGGCGTGAAAGCAGAACAAACAAACTCACTTTCCGATTTATAATATTAGTAAGGATTAAAAAAACAATGACGTCATTCGATGACTTTCCCCCTTAAAAAAAGGCGCAGAATATGACCTTCAGACCTAAAGATACAAATACTATAATTTCATAGCCATACTGTATACCACTTCAATAACTAACCACCATACTCCTCTCCAGGGCATCAGAAGCCGGTCTAACTGCAGCTGTCTCCTCACTCCTGGACGCTGGTGCTGATGGCCGTGCGCATCCAGTCACCAAGTACTGTCCTCTATACATTGCCAGCTACCATGGACATGTGGAGATAGCTAAACTGCTCCTGGTTTCGTTTCCTGAGGCTGTTCAGGTGAGGAGATTGGGGATTTTAGTGTTACATACATACATACATGACTGCACGGTTGGTGCGGTGGCTGGGCATCCGGCTGCCGTGCAACGCGTCGCGGGTTCGATTCCCGCACGGAACAACACTTTGTGTGGTCCACAAATTGTTGTTCCGGGTCTGGGTGTCATTGTGTGTGTGAACTTGAATGTTTGTAAACACACTCACGACACAGGAGAAAATCCTAGTATGGGGCAACGTTTAAAAAAATTGGTAATTCCAAGAGGTAGGTACTTTCTTGTTTCTTCATTCAATCATGTTAAAAACATATAATACCTGCTCAGTATAAAGTACAATTAATTACATTTATTTATACATATATACGTAACTTCACGCCTGTCTCCCATGGGGGTAGGCAGAGACTATTGCTACGATTCCTACATACCTCTTTCGCTTCATCAACAGTCATCAATTTTTTCATGCATGCTCGTCGGTTCAGGGTACTTTTAATTTGGTATGTCAATGTCTCACCCCCTATTACATGGGACTCATAACATAAATAGTGAAAAGTGGGTGTTATATTGTACAGTGGCATTTTGTGCACTTCTGTCTATTCCTTCGGGGATAAAAGGCGTGATGTTATGTTATGTCAATGTTAATCTTTTGACTGCCTCGTTGGCCGAGTGGTCTCAAGTGCGACTGCCGGGCAAGGGGTCTCGGGTTCGATTCCCGAGTCGAGCAAAGTGTTACTGGGTTTTTAAAAATTCTCAGTAGTAGCACGGAGTCTGGAATTGTGCCCGGTATATGGCAATAGGCTCACCATCTATTACATGGGACTCATAACATAAATAGTGAAAAGTGGGTGTTACATTGTACAGTGGCATTAAGTGCCGTAATGTGCACCTCTGCCTACCCCTTCGGGGATAAAAGGCGTGATGTTATGTTATGTTATGTTATGTTA